TCTTTCTCCCTAACTCTCCACCTTGTTTGTTTAATGCATCCATTAACTCAAACCTTTATTCATTAATGAATAACATGATTAGTGTTTTTTTTGTCTATATCAAGGTTTGGTTTTTCCTACGTATTATGTTGTGATATCTAATAACAAAGAAATTTTGTGGACATGTTTCTACAGATTGTATTGGTTCCGCTTTTAATGCAAAATACAAGATGGAGTGTCCAAATTGTAGGAACATTGAACAAGGTCAATGGTTGTATGCAAGTGGCCCTCTAGATCAAGATATCATTGCTGAAGAGTATGAAGATGAAGAACAAGAGCAAGATGAAATTGATCTCGGATCCTTTCCTGACATGCTTCCATCGATCATGCCCAGAAGTAGTTTACATGCACCACTCGACCGTGGTCCAACTGTGTTCCCATATGGTCCGAGACAATTTGGTGGAAATGGAATANCCACAAATCCTTGGTTACCTCCATATGGTCCGAACCAGTTCCTTTACGATGGCTTCATGAACTTCGATGAATTCATAAGACGTGATCTTACCTTGGAGAATATAATTTTACAAAATCGGTTAGATCAAAACGTGGCCCTTCTTGCTGCTCATGAACGTAACTTACACCCTAGTATGGGGAGTTATGGTGGTGGCGAAAGCAGCCGTAGTGGAGACCGAAGGAGAGACGGAGGCGGAGGAAGTGGCAACGGCGGGGATACCAGTAATTGTGGTAGAAGTGGCTGATGTGTGTTGAAGTTTTTAAGCGACCAAACCGGTTTGATATATAGTGGTTTAACCGGTTGAATTGGTATATCAAATAAAAACCATTGATTTCTCTTTAAATTATTAAGTCAATATTTTTTTTTTCTTTTGGGTCATCTGTTTTTCAGTTTGGTTCGTTTAAATTATTAAATGAAAATATTTAAAACTATATTAGTTAAATTATTAAGTCAAATCTTTTGAGTTTGGTTTGTTAAAATTATTAAGTCAAAACTTTTGAGTTTGGTGAATTTGGATCGAATACATTAGTGGTTCGGTTGGTTGAACCTCGCAGCTCAATCAATTTTTTGGGTTTGATCCTAAAATTGAAACGGCGGTTTAATTTTACTGTCAGTTTAAAGCTTTTAATCTATCTATATCTATTTTTTCTATCAAAAAAACATAAATAAAGATTTTGAAAGGTAATTGATAAACAAACAAAATCTAAATCTTAGATATAACTAAATACTCATTAGCAAAGAATTGTTTTAAGAAAGGTCACTCTTAAGAGCCAATACACGGATTGATGCATGGTTGTGTCTGAAAAAGTCTTGTCAATCAACAACTTAGCAGATTCAGTCTGTCTACATTTATAAATTAGTTTTCTGACGAATATGATTGAAAAAAATTTGTTAGAGATGCAAAAAGACCAAAAATACCAAAATTGCTAAAGGCTAGATGGTTTCAGTGATTATATACATAATTCGTTTATTTTATCTTAACAAATGTTACAATGGCACATAGGTAGTTGGCTTGGTTTTGTCTCATGAGTCTAGCCTCTAATTTGCATAACATATGGTTTTCTTTTTGAAAATCTAAACGATGTTGTGGGGATCGAAACTTGCATAATTGAATTTATCAAGAAGTTTCAAGAGTACTGAGATGTAAGTTTAAAACCACAAAAACATAGATTAAAGATGATTTTTATTGTTGTTTTTAAGAGCTAGTAAAATCGTAAGTAAAACATTTCAGATATCTTTTTCAAGGAAAATACATTAGTATTTATAAGAATCTAATTTGGTTAGGTCAACCTTTAAAGAGATAAGAAAGATTTCTTATTTTTTTTAGACTTTTTTTTTCTGTAGTCGGCTGCGTTTTATGGGTCTCGTCACTAAATTCGGCCCAATTTTCTTGAATTTTTGGGCTCTGTCCACCTTATCTTGTTGCGGTCTTGGGTTTCGCCTTGTTATAGACTTTATGTCTTTAAGAGCTCGCCTCTCCACTATGATTTTGGGCTTGCCGGCCTCACGCTTCTTTGTGACCTTAGACTTGCCGGGATCGCCACTTTGGCCTTGCCAATCTCACAGCTCTATCGTGAAATCAACCTTGCCAGGTTTGAGCCTGTTGGGTTCGCCCAGTCATTTCTAGCCTAATTTCGTTCGATACTAAGTCATTTTCGCATATTGATTTTACTAGGATGAAGCATGACCTCAACTGACGTTATTTTGAGTAAACGAAATTTAATACCGTTAATTTATTATGTTACTCGAGTTAACTATATGTATAATTTGGCTTAGTGAATAATAAATTGGGGGAAAAAAACAAGTCAACATAAGTTAGAAATTATTTACATTTATGAAGTAATTGTGTTTTTCCAGGTTTTTTTTAACACTGAATTATCATGTAGTTTATATTACGTCAGCATTGGGTATATTTGA